GAATATTTCGGAGAATGTAGGAAAGCGTAGTTGAGGTTCGCAGTGGATATCGTAGCAGAGCATAGTTCTTCCTTCTGTCATGTTCGCCTGACAAGTTGGCTTTAGTCATTCCAGTAGGAGAAACAAAGATGGCCGCCTTTATACACGACGGCTACAATGTTCTGCGGATTCTGATTGGTCAACCTTCTATTGGTAGACTATAAAGGGAATTAAGTCATTTTGACTAACTCACTAGTTATATACAGTATATACACAAAAAACTGTAACAGTCGTTTGTTATTTCTCCCAAACCCTGTTCTGCCATCCATATATAACAAGTATGCTACGCGCTGCTTTCCTCTGTTCCTCTTTGCCTCAATCTGTTCCATGTGTATCAGATTTTCCAAGCCCATCGTCCTCATTACGTGCCCCAGAAATTTCATCTGCCTCTTACTGATATTAGGTATGTTTCGTTTTTGCTTCCATTCTCTCCAAAACCTCGTTGTTGCTCAATTTCAGGCCACGTATCCTCAGCATCTTTTGGAAGAATTACATTTCTGTTGTTTCAAATCTTTTCCTCATCTTTGAGAAGATTGTCCAGCATTCACTGCGATACAGGATGACAGAGATCACTTAGAAGTTCAGTACCCTTTTCTTTGTTTATAACGAAAATGTTTCTGTCTCTTAATACTCTGCTTAGCTTTTGCAATGCAACTTCGGCCATCCCTATACGTCTTTGGATCTCAGTGTGGCAGTTTCCGTCTTTTCTTAGAACCTTCCCAGGCATTTAAATATCTGTACCTGCTTCATTTTAGTATTTCCCACCTGTAATTTACATTTTGAGATCATCCATTTGCTGATAATCTTGCATTCTGTCTTTTTGAGGGTTATGCTTAGTCCTTTCTTCTTGTTTTCCTTCGCTAACTTCTGTGGGAGATTTTGCTAATTTTTTCTGTATCTATTTTTTCTGTGTCGATTTTTTTCTGTATCGACTCAGTAAACTAACTTTCCTAGTAATGGATTCCAAAATGTGCAAAAAAAAAACCCAAAAAACAAACAAAAAAAATGAATGCGAGAGAGGGAAGAAATATTTGGAAGTGACTGCGAAATTGTGTAGTGGAGATTTCGTAGCATTGGTGTTAACCCACCCATTTTATTTCATTGCAAAGCAAACGCTTCAGTGCATAACATAATAATTTAACAGGATTTTCTCCCTTCTCTCTCTGCAGCTAATCCCGTACGATATCCATGCAAGACAGTAAATTATGTTATACTACAGAAAATTGCAAATATTCCGAAAAAGTTCTTTTTATGCTATATCCCGCTAAATGCCCAGATCTTAAACCTATTGAGTCTATTTTTAATACCATGGGCGACAATGTCATGAGAAGGAAACCGACGACATTGACTGAGTGGTGGAGACCCTGCAGGAGAAACTGGGCAAAATCACACCAGAACAAAAATCCTGTAGTTGGAGATGCGCAGAAGTAATTCAAAACCATAGCCTGTGCGCATTATGCGTCGTTAAATTAATGGTTATCGACCTGGGAAATAGAAACGTCAAGCCGAATTCAAATTCTCTTAATCTGTTGCGCTCAATTTCGAATAAATGCCCCTGGGAGAGGACATCAATCTATTTCTTCTCTACCCAGCTAGGTGTTTAATAACAGAGTACATTCTGCTCTTTCGACATCAGTGTCTGCTATTTCAAAAGAAGGGGACCGCTGAAAGCGCATCAGTGAACGAAGCAACAAGAAATCCCAGAAGTTAACAGATAATTAAGAAATGTAATCTATGGAGACATGCAAACATATATAAAATCAATATAATTTTAATAACTTTATTAATTTAATGTACGTTGAAACTATTGTTTTCTAATAAACGGTTCTGTTATGCAAAATTATCCTTGTGACATTTAATCTTTTGTTTATGATTAACTAAAAAAGTGAGGTTTAAAGCCCTCCTAATTGATATTGCATTTTATACAACTCTTAACTTCATCTAGCGCAGTGTTGGTATTCGTCCTCGGACCCCACATTTGAATTGTATACCGTACATTCTCGTCTGCGATGTCTCAGATATTGCATATCATACCGCTGG